AACATATTACATAATATAGCAAAACAAATGAGTACTGTATAAAAGATGGCATTACTGTTTTATCAAATAAAACATCCAGGCAACAACATGTTTTATATTGTCAACGTGCCTCCATTCACCACAGATAGTCGTGCTGGCCGTGGCGATGGTTTTATCTGTTATATCCCAGTGGTCAATGGGATTTCGACTGTGGTATCTGGCAAGGTTTATCAGGTGCTCCGCGGCATGGTTATTCAATGACGGTTTGTTCCGCTTAAATTAGTTTTCAGTAATAGTAGACTCGGGCTGTATATTTGACTTCTACTCCCTTCTCTCTCCCACCCGGAACTGGTGTCAAGACAGAGTCAACAAGGGCAGACGCGTGATTGAGCGCAGATTGTTGGCAAGGCGTGAACCTGCCCCTATTTCGGCCACCATACGCCATGTGTTGCATTTATTTATAGGGGTGCGTGTTAGCTAACGCCATATGTGTCCCGATTTAGACACATCCCGCTCATATGCCACGTGGCCCGCTTAGAATCCGATTACAGAAATAAGAGTACAGATGTGTATTGTTTGCGTGAAAATGACTCGCCACGTTGGTTAACTGATTATGCCCCTGGACGCACTGTTCACGCATCTACTCCCCAAATTTCCAATTATTTTGTCCAGGCAATGCTTTAACAGCGAGGAGGGAGAATAGAAATCATGAACGTGCTTATAGAGTTTGAGACGAAACCAATGGCTTCCTTCGGTCACAACTGATAGGACCCTTTTTCTATGAGGCATTTTAGGCCCCACGAAATGTAATGATTTACTGGCGTCCTGACCTCGACAGCCTTGACTTTATTCCTCGCTGTCGATGCGTATTCGGCGATTTACCTCCGATGTTTCTGTCTTTACCGCAAAGGCAACAGGTCGGCTAGACAAATTCTAGTGTTTCATTTCGTGCCTGTGTTGGTTCTCAGTTACTGTTCAAAATATTCTGCTCTCTTATCTCATACTCCGGGAAGTACTTCAAACAATAATCCCACATCCTAGGTCGCCAGCACTGCCAACAAAGACAATGAAGGCCGCAATGGCCATTTCTGGCCCATAAGCCGCCATCAGCTGGTCATACCCGAAAGGTGCCCGACCCGAGGCTTAAACCTGTGGCCTTTTCATCAGATATCTTACGCTCTAACCTTCGAGTCACGAGCTCGTTGGCTTGCCGGTTTAGGTTGGGAGATATTGATTCTCGTTGATGAGTATGCACCAATCACTAAAGGAAGTTATCAGTCCCGCTCTGTCTTGGGCCTCATTCTCAAGTCTCGTTAGCAGCTGCATGGTGGCTTGGAGTCTAGGCAGATAGAAAATTGCGAGCAAAGATAATGAAGACTGGAATGGCCCTTGCTGGCTCCTCTGCCATCATCGGCCAGTCATACCCAATCCCGAGTGGTGTCCCCCCCCTCAAGTCACTGCGAAGATTTTATGGTTGGGCAGAGCGAAAATGGTGTTTGAAGTGAGCTGCCTTCGCCCCCCTTGCCCCCAACAGACCGTCCACACGACCAACCAAAACCGTGCGGGCTGCCTATTTTTACACTGATGCTGATGATGGTTCATTTCCTCCTTCCTTACTTGGCTTATTGGTTTTTCTGAATTTCTTTTGCGGACAACCTGCCGCTTTACAACAACTTTAGCAGATTAATATTGCCAGCAAAGACAATAAAGACTGGAATGGTCCCTGCTGGCTCATCGGCCGTCATCAGCCAGTCATACCTACTCCCAAGTGGTGCCCAACCCAAGGCTCAGATCCGTGAACATTTGATCAGAAATCTTGCACTGTAAACGTGGAGACACGAACTATCAGCCTAGATTACTAGCCGTCGTGTGGCTTCTGTCAGGACCTAATAAATGAGACCCACGGCAGAGCAGGACGAGTGGGTTTCGCAAGCGAACAGTGAACATTAATTAACGAGTTTCAAGCCCATGACACCATTGCTCGTTTCCTTCTTAGATGTCAGGATTTTTCGCCTAAACCAACGTACATATTGGCGACTGTCAGTTAAACAGCACTGTAAATCCAGTGAAGCTTAAAGCGCATTCGGAGTGAAAGAGTTCATTTTACCTAACTTGTAGTTCTATACAGACTAATCTTGTACAATTAAAGCAACAATAGTGCTCTCTAATCTATTTTTACAATAACCATATATTAATATGCGAAAATATGCGAGGTCCAGTTATAATATTGTTTTCATCATCCCCGGAAGAGGACGAAGAAGACGGGGCAATTTCTGAAACCAAAGTGTAGTTACTCTGACGTTTCAAAAGCTTTCTCGCTTTCATCGTCAGAGCGAAGTGTCGAGTGAGTCTGTCTAACCGCTAGCTGTGCCTGATGCCCGCATGTCGATAGACTGCGCTCCGCACAAGGCTAACATCTGCTCAGAACGGAGCAATAGGTCGGGCAACGGAAGATACACAGGACCGACGGCCGGCAGCCGCGAGCAAAAAGATGGAAACGCTCAGGAGGCATACAAACAACTTGACACACTTCATGGAGGCGCCCGCGAGCCAACAACGAAGGCCTAAGCTGTACAATCTCTTGATCAACAGCAAAACATTTTTTGCATATCTTCTTCAAAAATATTATTTCGTGTTTAATTTTGCTGATTAATTTCCTTGTACTTCATGCATATCCTATGTAAGTGCATTGCGACTAAAATAATGTTTTGCTCACTCTTCTGCGTCAATGCACATTACTTATAGTATTTCCCTTCAAACAAGGAAATTACATTTCTCTTCAAGTCGAAGACAGTTTCGTTATTCTTGCTTAACTTTAGACTTCATTTTAAAATTATGCATATCCCACTGTAAATGAAATCAGTTGTTTTGAAATGGTTGTTATAGTTGGAAACAAACAATGCATTATAATGCATATGTTAAATCTCTCAGATATCACTTTTTTGTAAAATTTGGGAAGCGTCTTGGCAAAGAAAAGTCCTCTATCAGTTTTTTTGTATTAGAAATGATTTTAAAAAATTCCGGACAGACAGTTTTGGAGAGAGTAAAGGGAAAATGCCTTTTTATTTATTTTTTGAACCAACAAATGCTCGAAGCATTTCTTCATTAATTCCAGACTTAATTGCTGCAAAGCTCTGATATTCCGCTACTGGGACTATAAGCAGCCTGTGGCCTAACGCCTTTTTCCGCCGTGTGTTGCTGTTCTGTATGAGGTGAAGTAAGGCGGAAGTCAAAGTATATTAAGCAAACTACTAGCGATTAAGGTTCATATGAAACACTTGCCCATTGTTAAGAGAAAATTCAAATTTTATCAGCAAAATTTAAAGCACGACCGCTGTACCTGTGCAAATCTACGTTTCGCACCTTACATGCGTAGGGTAGTCCTTTTATTTTTTAAAATAACGTTTCCTGGATAAAATACCTCTCTAATATCAGTTTAGCCCCATCTTGTTCTTTACTGCGAGATCTTTCATCTAATTTGATGCTGCAATGAGTTACTAATAGGCTTGCCCGACCTGAGTGCGATACTTTGCCTCGAAAATTACACGTATCCTGAAAAATTAGATCTCGACAAGGAGAATAGGAACATGCTTCCTCATTTGTACTTATGTAGCATAAGCAGTCGAAAGCGGTTCAACCTCAGAACTGTGTACATCTGATGCTAAAACCCGATCTCTTTGACCGTTAACATGCGGGGTTAACGTCCCATTTCCTGTTACCTAAAGCTTTGCTGAAATCTTAGTTTAAGTCCCATAAATTATTTAAATGATAGCATGTTTTCGTTAAAAAGTAAAGGGCTATAAATAAACACAGAAATTTACTTATTTTCATTGCGTACTTATAATTTATTTACCGTCACAAATTTGGACATTTTTAACTTGCTTTTACTTTAAACACTATTGGGTTTCATGATATACCTAAAAACGATTTGGTGATTATGAGGTTGTCTACGTCAAATTACCTGGGGTCCAAATTACTGTTCTGGAGGTAGATTCCTATAGTTCGTGGCGCAAATCGCCGCGCACACCTTCAGTTTATATGCGCAAAAAAGTTAAGTTTGTTTATCTTATTTGATTTACATAACTTATTTATATTTATACTCAGTTCGTTAACTATTTTATTTTAGATTATTTTATAATAAAGACAGATAAGCATACTTCACTTGACGTTTTTATTTTGTTCATTTTAATTTAAGATGGTTATTTTTTTAATTTAGTTATTTCCCAATATTTGCATATATTTTATTATGGCGTACTTTGTTGTTGACAAACAGTAGGGCATTTCAATAATTATTCCTTCTTTTTATGCCTTTATAAACTTTATTTTTGACTTATACTTCCTTTCCTTTATATTGCCCAGACTGTATACCTTTTATTTCACCTGGTTCCGTAATACAGAAGGATTGGACTTTCGCATGCTGAACTGGGACCTAAACTACGCTTTTTCCAAAGCATTTTTGTGTCACACTTGTTTGTGGAGGTAAACTGAATGAAGAAAAAACCCCAGAATCCATGTTCTGAAATCCATGTGGCGAAAACTCCCAAATACTTAACTTTTATCCCTAACTGAGCCATTTTATTATATACTGATTATAAGGCAAAAAAGACACAAACGAACACACACCTGCTTGATAATTTATTAAATATCTGTCACACCAGGAATTTCTGCATTCTCATGCCTGCCCGCCTCCAAAACCATCAGTGGGCATAACGATGCAGACGTTTCTCCTCCTCGGTCAGCTCATACTCGCAGGCGAGACCGTAATTTCCGGGCTGGCAGACACAACGGCAGAGGTCAACAGTGTTTCTCGGCAGCAGGGTAATTCCATTGTTGAGACAGGGCCGCATGCAGTGGGAGACCTCGTAGACAATACGGCGCAGCATATCCTTCTGATGCATGGAGAGGCGCTTTGACACCTCTGAGGTCGAGGAGGTTCCACTGTCAGCCTCATCGTCGGCGTTGTCTAAGT